TGCTCGATTCAATTTGAGCGAGAAAGGAGCAGTCTTTTCTTCAGGGTTTATCAGCGAGATTCTTCTTGCTCGAGCTTTGTGGTTTTTATTTTCTTAGGGTTTCTCTGATTTCATTTCTCCGGTTGTCTGGATCTCTGCATAATGTAAGTTTTGCTCTTCTTATCTCTCCAAATTCATTTGTTAGATTTGCTTGCTTCGTCTTATTCTGATGTGTTTCGCTTGTTATTTGGGTTCAGGGTTCTGGCTTAATTCGATGTACTGAAATTAGGGTTTCGTCAGAGGCGAATCTGGTTATGCTTTAGACAATAAAGTGTGGGAATTTTCACCTACTCAGAGCTGATTTTTGAGCTTTTGATTCTTATAGAGCTGAGTTAAGCCAAAAGGGTTTTGTGCTATATAGTTTAGAGATGATCAAACAGATATTTGGGAAATTACCCAAAAAGCCTTCGAAATCATTGCACAGTGACTCGAATGGCGAAGGAGGGGTTAATTCCTATTACGCTCCGAATTCGAGTAGTGGTAGTATCTCGAAACCTTCTTCGACATCTTCGAAATCATCAGCGTCGGCTTCACGTGTAGCAAATGGGGCTATTGCTCCTAACTCATTGAGCTCTAACAAGACTAATCATGGGAAGAAACCATTGGGAGATGCTGTTCAAGCTGGGCCGTTTCCGCCTACTGGGGTATATGAGGCTTTGCCGAGCTTTAGGGATGTTACTATCTCGGAGAAACCAAATCTCTTTATCGGGAAGTTGAGTATGTGCTGTGTTGTCTTTGATTTTAGTGACCCGTCAAAGAATCTTAAGGAGAAAGAGATAAAGCGGCAGACTTTGCTTGAGCTCGTCGACTATGTTGCTTCGGTTGGTGTGAAGTTTAATGATGTTGCAATGCAAGAGCTCACGAAGATGGTAGCGGTAAATCTGTTTAGAACATTTCCTTCTGCGAATCACGAGCATAAAGTTCTGGAAATGCATGATATGGAAGATGAGGAGCCTTCGCTGGAGCCAGCTTGGCCGCACATTCAAGTTGTTTATGAGATTCTGCTCAGATTCGTGGCTTCGCCTATGACTGATGCAAAGCTTGCAAAGAGATATATTGACCATTCTTTTGTCTTGAAGCTGTTGGACTTGTTTGATTCTGAAGATCAAAGAGAGAGGGAATATTTAAAAACCATTCTGCACCGGGTATACGGGAAGTTCATGGTGCACCGACCGTATATCAGAAAGGCTATAAACAATATCTTCTACAGATTCATCTCCGAGACAGAAAAGCACAATGGCATTGCAGAGTTGCTCGAGATTCTTGGAAGTATAATTAATGGGTTTGCTTTGCCCTTAAAAGAAGAGCACAAGCTCTTCCTTGTGCGCGCCTTGATTCCTCTACACAAGCCTAAATGCGCGTCGGTCTATTACCAACAGCTTTCTTATTGCATAGTTCAGTTTGTGGAGAAGGACTTCAAGCTCGCTGATACCGTTATTAGAGGCCTTCTTAAATATTGGCCTGTAACTAACAGCTCAAAGGAAGTTATGTTTCTTGGGGAATTAGAAGAAGTCTTGGAAGCAACTCAAGCCGCAGAGTTTCAGCGCTGTATGGTCCCTCTATTCCGACAAATTGCCCGATGCCTCAACAGTTCACATTTTCAGGTTCGTGTCTTTGGTTATCGTAAGTCCATAATTTCCAATTCTTCTCTTTTGACAAAGTCTCGTACCTATATGAAGTTGTACTTCTGTATTACAGGTTGCTGAAAGAGCATTGTTTCTATGGAACAACGATCACATAAGAAACCTGATCACACAGAACCATAAAGTGATAATGCCTATAGTCTTCCCAGCTCTGGAGAGAAACACGCGTGGACATTGGAACCAAGCAGTCCAGAGCCTAACCCTAAACGTGAGGAAAGTATTCTGTGACATAGACCAAGTTCTTTTTGATGAGTGTTTAGCCAAATTCCAAGTGGAAGAAGAGAATAAAACAGAGGTTAAAGCGAAACGGGAAAGAACATGGAAGCGGTTAGAAGAGTTGGCGACTTCAAAGACCGGTGTAAGCAACAACGAGGCAGTGCTGGTTCCAAGATTTGTGTCCTCAGTCAATCTTGCAAGCAGCTCTGAGCCCACAGGGTAGTAGCTCTGGTAGGTAAATTAAAATGGCTGCGGTTTCTGCTCTGTTTTATCAGCTTATACTTGAAATGATAGGCTCCGGTCTGAGCAATCGGAATCGGTTTTCATGAAAGAAACCGAGAAGATATTCGAAAGTGATCAACCAGAGAAGAGTGTGAAGTATCTCACTCCCATTAACGAATACTTTTTAACAAAAAAAATTCGGTTTCTGTTTTTACTTTGCTTGTTGCTTTGATCTTCTTCTTCTTGTATCAATTCTTATAGAGGAATCTGCAACATATGTAGTGTAAGAAACTGTTGGTATTTGAGAGACGACTGTATAATTATTATTTTTAATTAAATCTATGTGATCAAATTGAGACTATTTCGTCCAATTTTCTTTGTCTACATTTTCGTAATACTGTAGTCTATTCTGCAATGGGTACCAATTTTCCGACCCAATACTACTTACTAGACGTTGATCTAATTACTCCCTTATCATTTTTTTTCTGTGAC